GTTGCAGAAATGTGAAGACCTGAGTTTTGGTCCCCAGAACCCACGTAAAGCCAGACATGGTGGCTCACAGTCCCAAGTTCCTACAGTGACATGGGAGGTGGGGACAGGGGACTCAGTTTATGGGCCAGCTTGCCGTGTACACAACAGTGGACTGTAAAGGACTATCTCAAGCAAGGCGGAAGAGGCAAGGCAAGGAATAACCCTCACAAGGCTGTCTTCTGATCTGCACACACGTGTGCGCACACACACAAACACACGCACACTTACACATATATACACAGACAAACACATGCACTCACACAAACACAAACACACATGCAGTCACATACATTCACATACATATACACACACACCTGTTGGGACTGCGGACCCCCAGACCCTGAATTTCCTGTAAACAGCTTGTTTTCTAGGCTTGCAGCTGCTCTGCACAAAACAACTTGTTTTCCTGTGCTTGCAGCTGCTCTGAGCACGAGACAGGGGAGTGGTTTCTGGTGGTTTTGCAGCTGAGAGTTAGGGTGTGGCCGTTGGTCAGGGAGACCCTATATAAGATGCCCTGGAACACAATAAAGTGGGCGTTCTTGTTTCAGGGATGACCCCCCCCCCCGTTTGTGTGTGTGTGTGCAGGCTGTATGCTAAAGGCGTAGTACCATAGTACATATAGTGCAGGCGCTACAGGACCGTAGTACACATAGTAGTATGGACTGTACACACACCAACACACATGCACTCACATTCAAATACATACAAACACACGCACTCACATACGCACTTTCATACTGTCAGGGCCCAGTGCTAACCCAGACTCTAAATTATTTCTCTTGACCAGACCCAAACATAAACTCTCTCTAGACCGGCGTGGAGACACGGGGGGAAAAAAGACACAACTCACATAGCTTTATCGGGAGGGAGATTCTCCATGATCCCTCATGAAGTCCTGAGTTCACATCCTGAAGAATTCCTCACATTTATTCTCCAAACAGCCTTATCTATCAAAACATAAACTGGGGGATAGAATCATTAGCATTCTGTTTCCTAGGTAACCAGGTGAATGGCTTTTAGTCACGTCCACATCTACCTGTCTGCTCTGTATGCTAGCTGTCACTTAGGCTTGAATCAGCATCTCTATCAGGCATCTTCCAAATTACAAAGAAAGGAGCAAAACAGCACCCTGATCCTTTGTTAGGGCAGAGACAGCCTGTCTGCAGGGCTACGTGACCACCTCAGGTGGGGCCTATGGCTTTAGAGCCTGGCTGCCACACCATATAGAAATATGGGCCTACATCATACACACACAAAAAAACACGCACTTACACACACAAATACATACACACAGAGAAAGAGAGAGAGATTATAAAGAAGAAGCAACTCCCTCATGGCAGGCATGGTCCTGCTGGAGCAGGAAGCAGAGCAGTGACCAACACCATGGGAGCACCCTCCAGGACACAGGAGCTGCAGATGGGCCACCAGACAGGGGCAAGGCTCCTCTGCAATCTCCATGACCCAGCCCACCTCCCAATGGACAAACCAGCAGTGGTAGCAAAAGAATGCCACAGGCTCTACCAGACTTCAGCTGAGTGCCAAGTGCTCTAGGTAGCCTCAGTACACCAGCCGTGGGTTGCCATCATGGCAGGATACCAATGGCCAGCGTGCAGGGTGGGTGAGGTCTCTGAACGCACAATGGCCTGGCACAAGGTAGAAAGTTGAGGCCATGGAGCAAGGAGTGAGATAGATGGGAAACTGGACAGACAGACAGGCAGGCAGGCAGACAGAACAAGTCAAAAGGAAGGCAGAGAAGAAACCCTGGTCAAGGCCCTGCTCCAGAAAACACTCTACAACTATGTCTGCCTAAAAAAATCCCAACCAACCCATGGTCTCCCAGGACCCGTTGGAGCTACCCACGTGATATAGCCCCTGCTCCCATCCCAGGTGGGCTCTCCTCCAGCTGAGGTTCCAGAGTCCCAATGGGGCATCCACCTTTGCACATCTACCCTCATCCTGTGGGTATGGGGTGGGCAGGATTCAAAGGGCAGACAAGGTTCAGAGGATGGAGCGATTAGACAAGGCTTCCTGGAGGGGCCTCCTGATACAGGCTAGCCTGGCCAGAACTCCAGGCAGAGTCAAGCAAGGTGTGTGCAGGCCTTGCCTAGAGCACACTGGCAATTAGCACATTCTAGGTGCCCTATTCACTTAGCCCCTCTGGGTCCCCATCATCCTATCTGGAAAGGCAGGATTTGAACTCATCCAAGGCTGTGGGAGGGTTCAGGTAGCCATAAACAGGAGCAAGGGATGGGCTATGACTCCATCCGCGATAACGCTATTGTATGATCATTTGTTGATCCTGGGCCTATGACTGCCCTAGAGGCCAAACCGACAGCCTCTGCCCAAGCTGGAATGAGGGAAGTCTCTCTCTTCCAGCCTACCTGGGCCCTGGAGGTACCTGACACCTCCTTCTGGCAGGTAGCTCCGTGTCCAGAGCATCCTTTTGAGTCAAAACAGGCATGTAATTCAATAGTAGAGTATTTGCCTCGCATGCTCAAGTCAATACCAGAAGAACAAATACAAACACAAAAACAACTCCTTATCCAAAACCTATTCCCAGGTCAACACTAGAGTCAGAGTACCATTGGCAGTGTGTCCTTGACCTCAGGTTAAAGCTGGGTCTCAGGGTAGGCCTGTGCTCTATGCTCGGGACCCTTTCCCAAACCTGTCCCCAGGGCCTTGTCTCTCCAGAATGGGGACCTATTGTATTGATATTTCATTTATATTTTAATAAATAAAGCTTGCCTGGAGATCAGAGAATAAAACAGCTGCTCTGGTCAGCCTTACAGACCAGGCAGTGGTGACACACACCTTTAATCCCAGTAGCCACACTAGTTTGCCATAGAAACTGGACAGTAGAGGTGCACGCCTTTAATCCCAACACTAGAGGGGAATATAAAAGGAGAGGAGACAGCTCTCAGTCTTATTCTAAGGATTCCTGGAAGCAGGATTGCCATTTTGGTCTGAGGTAGAGGTAAGAGCCAGTAGCTGGTTATTTTGCTTTTCTGACCTTCAGGTTGAACCCCAATATCTGTCTCTGGATTTTTATTAATCCAGGGCTACAACCCCTGAGCCTCAGTGCCCCCTCACTACCACCAAAGGTAGCTGCTGGAGACCGTTGTGTCTGCTTCACTGGTCCAGATGGAAGCCCAGGAGCCCTGTGAGACCCATCCTGAACCAGCCATGCAACCTGAGCTCCAACCTATTGGAGGTCCCGCCTGGCAGGTCTTCTGGGACTCCTGAGGGGCCGTGGTCTGCTGTTATCACAGCTGCCAGCCCCACATGGGACGGCAAAGCCGGCCTGCTGGTCACCTGGTATTTTGAGTGAAGACAGTGATTGTGTAGTTGCAGAACCACACTTCAGGGCCTCAAGGCCCTGGAGCCTTCCTGCCCCCCATAACCTCTTCCAAAGTCAGAGCTTCAAGTTGGCCCATGGTCAGTGCCAGGAGCCAGGGATCAGCCTGGGACAGTTAGGACCTACACTTCAGCCCAGAGGCAGCTTTCCCAGCAAGTCAGCTGGGAAATCCTAGCAGACTGTCCTCATACCTGGCCACTTTTGAGACTTGCCTGGTGACGCTATCGTCTTGGCCCTGGTGCTGGTGATTGTGTCCCTGAGGTTTCGGCGGGTGTTTTCAAGCCCTGACTAGATCCAGAGGCTGGACTAGGTGTCCAATATATGCCTCTCTGCACGGTCACTCTGCCCACAGCCCACATGTCTGCATGTCACTGTGCGTTAGGACCCATAGAATGGCCATCACCCTGCCACCACACTTGTCTGTGTGTGCCTAAGTCCTGTGTGGGGAGAGCTTGCACGTGGAAGCTCGGTGGATGCACAAAATATGCAAAATGAGATAACCTATGTGCACAGAGACACACATGCAAGGCTGGGCCTCAAGGGGAGGGTGTATACTGGGTGCCTGCCAACCCTGAGCTCAGCCCAAGCTCAGCCTGAGTTTCTCCTGGGGCTGAAGAGCAGGTGCTTGCTATGCCTAAGGCCCGAGGGGTTGATACAAGCATCACCTGGCACAGTCTAGTCTCCTCCCCGTAGGCCTGCCTGGCAGGTATCACTGCCAGAGTGGATTGACTAGGCAGGGCAGTCCCGAGCTGTCTACTGGGCCAGGCTTGCAGACGAGCAGAAACCGTGGCAGCTCTACCCACATCAGCCCAGTGTCCAGGGACTCAGCTGCAAGGATTGACAGAACTTGAGCCTGGTTCGCTGGCATCTGGAACACTGATCTACCCTATCCTGTGGCCACGTGGTCAGGAGCAGCCTCCTCCCTGGTCCCTGAACATCAGCTCCACTACCAGAGACCACATTCCTGCTCAGGTAAGACCTGTGATGTCAGAAGACACCAGCTAGACCATAGTGTTCAGGCTGCTCGGCATCTGAGCCTGTTTTAGCCCCTACACAGGGCAGTAACCTTTCTGTGTGCCTCTTGGGCCACTTAGAGTCAGAAAGTCAGAGGGACCCCAAAGTCATCATAGTATACATGCAGGGTGGGGGGCAGTCAGTGGCTCAGAGCAGTCCAACAGCTCTGGCTGGGTCCCCTCTTCTAGAATGGAGATCTCAGAGACAGCTGAGGTCTGAGGTTTAGGCCACAAGGTGTGGGGGTACCTCTCCCCCACTGCCTGGGAGATTTGCTGTTTGTGAGATCTGTTAATTGGAGACAATGCGCCTGTGGGATCCCTGGGGGCCTGCCTGTGATAAGAAAGGCCAGACTCAGTAGCTCCCTTCCCCTGCCACTCCCTGTCGTTGAGACGCTTGTTTGTGGGGTTGTTTTCCTCCCCAGACAGAGTCAGGCACCCTCAAGATATTGATACTGGCTTTCTCTTTCTCTTTCTCTCTCTCTTTCCATCTTTTGTGAAGCTAACCTGCGTCACTCCCTGCCTCATCTCCAGCTAGACCTGGACCTAAAACCCACAGCCTTCGGGCTTCCCTGCCCTGAGACGCTCCAGCCAGGATGATCGGAAGCCTCCGGCAGTCAGCCTTGGGCTCCAGAGTGGGTGAGAAAACACTTCTACACTAAGGGGATGCCTAGGCCCCTTGGGTGGCTCTGGATCACATTGCTGCAGAGGTAGGGATTCTTTATGCTCTGGCTGCGTCTCCATGAGCTCAAACTTGGGGACCTGTTTCAAGGGGAGGAAGGGAGGAGAGTGAGGTCTCCTGTACACAGAGCCAGCTAGTGTGGAAACACGGTCCCACCAACATAGGCCTGAGGGTCCTAGTGGGGACAAGACAGGGCTGTGGCCAGAAGGAGCCTCCACTAGTATAGGCAGCAGGACATAGCCCAAGTCCCCTTTGGGAGTCCCAGAATAAATCAGGCCAGGACCCAAGGACGCAGGGAGGAGACTGGTCCACAAAGGACATCAGAGTATAGCCGTCTTCCATAGGCCCTGTTGCTACTGCAGAAGAGATTTTGCTATGCGTCTTATCTGAGTATTGAGAGAACATCCCTGGCAACAAACCCCTCCTCCTGGGCTGGGAGACCCTTTTATGTCTCACTACAGAAACAAAGGGCTTGAAAGACTGTGGAACCAATCCCCTGTCTCTGAGTTTTGGGGTCTCGGTGCTCAGATTATGAGTACACAGAGTAACAACCAGGGAGACACTCACACACATGCCCATGCCAGAAAATGTGGACACTGTGTGTGCCAGAAGACACACACCACGGGCAGATCCAGACTGTCTACACAGAAACTGGTCTGGTTCTGCAAACCACCTCAAGGGCCTCCGTTTTTGGGGAGCTGTGGTTGAGGAAGTCACAGGGAGCCCCTGCTCATGCTCTCTCTACCACTCTGTTGCAGGTGCCCTGGCGAGTCCGGGTCTTGCCCTCCTCCTGTCCCTCACTGCCCACTGCTCTGGTCTGCAGACTAAGGGCTTCCCCAAGGGAGGGCTGAATACTAGTGAAGCCAACACATGGGTCAGGTGAGCAAAACCCAAGTCCAGCCAATTGTTTCCTGTGACAGGACATGGAGAGGACTGGTCCTGAGTCCTCTGTTGGTCCCAGGGGAGGGACCGTGTCCAGAGTCTGCACATAAGGCCCAGGCAGGGTACTGTTTGCCAGCTCTGACCTGGGCGTTCAGTGCCAATTATATGCAGGCAAGTCTCTGGCCAGCCAGATGTGTGGGCATGCTCACAAGGAGCCTCAACCCTCAGAGACTTGCAACCTCAGCCAATATCCTGCCCCCCAGGCTTCCCCTTTGGAGCTCTAGGCCGTCCCCCCTTACTGCTTGTGCCAGGTCCAGGGACTTCAAAGTCATTGCTATCCCCAAATCATTTTAGCTTCGTCATTTCCTTCTGTCCCAAGCTCTCAGGCCTGGGCTTGGATATTCCCATTTCTTGATTATCAATGATGATCGTCAATGGACCAGTCGGTTAATATAATGAATGAGTGGTCAAACACAGCCAGGATCCCAAGTGGATCTAATCAAGCCTGGGTTAGTATCAGAGATGTCCTCCCACCCAATAGGTGGATTTTGTGTCACACCCTGAGAAAGGTCCAGACGATGGCCTCGCCCATGGTCATCCAGTATGTGACCCCATGTCCATCAGCAGCTATCAGGACTAGTCCAAGTCTGAGCCCCAGAAGGGATGGCAGGACCTAGGTTAAAGCCCCATCCAGCTGAGAGTCTGGTCCTAGCAAGGTCCTCTAGAATGGAAGGAAGGAGGGAAGGAGGAAGCAAGGAAGGAAGAAAGATAAGGAAGGGAGGGAGGGAGGGAGGGAGGGAGGGAGGGAGGGAAGGAAAGAAAGAAAGAAAGAAAGAAAGAAAGAAAGAAAGAAGGAGAACCTTACCTCACAGGCATTGCCTGCCTCTTACTCCCTCACTCATGGAGACAACTGAGTGATCAAGTCCCCGTTGCAGTAGCCAAAGCCTTCCTTCCTGGGTCTTCCCCCTTTGGACCCAGCATGTCCCTCCATCTATACAGGGATAACACCTCCCTCCTGCAGAACTTTTGGTGCTTGCCAGCCAGCGAGCTGCCCAGGGAAGAGCTCTCCACTCTAATAAGAAGCCTGGCTTCGCAGAGGGTCCCACTCAAAGCCTGGCAGGTAAGTGCTTCCAGGGCAGAAAGAGCACGGGTGCTGCAGGCTACCCAGGATGCTGGAGTGTATCCAGGTGGAGGGGCAGCTTTATGAGGACTTAAGGGTTGGCACACAGCCTCCCTGAATCAGAGGACTGTCTCCAAGTCATCCTGCCAACCTCAAAACCACCTAGAATATGACTTTTTGTTGCTGCGTTTTAATAATTTATTAAAATTTATTTTATGTGCATTGGTGTGAGGTTGTCAGATCCCCTGGAACTGGAGTTACAGACAGTTGTGAGCTGCCGTGTGGGTGCTGGAAATTGAACCCGGGTCCTCTGGAAGAGCAGCCGGTGCTCTTAACCATCTCTCCAGTCCCCAAAATGTGACTTTTTGGTGGCCACACTGTGACAAGTCTGGCCCTTTTTGAGGCAACTCTTCCCTTATAGGGTGATCTACATGAGCACCCACGTCAGGAAGTTCTAGCGTGTTCCAGCAAATCTGTCTACAGGGTGCTTTTGCCTTGACTTGAAATGACCGCAAGCTTGTCCACTGCCTCGGGCCCTTCCCTGGGCTCATCCAGGACACAGGTGCCTCCTTAGGGTGGACCAGTCCAGGGACTGTGAGGGAGGATCTTGCAGTCCATTGGCCTCTCTCCTGCCTGACCAACGTCACCTGTCCGTGTTAACGGAAGGAAAGAGCTGGACACTATGGCACGGGCCTTTAACCTCAGCACTTGAGGGTAGAACACTCTTCTATTTTTTTTTAAAAATATAACCCTTAGCATGTGTGCACCTAACCCCAAAGTGTCCAGACAGACATGGCACAGATGGTAGAATGGGCAGAGAAACAGGTAAATCAGCTGTGACAGTCAGTGATGGCCACTGCCTGTCAGGATGGGACAGGTACGGTAGCTCGTTCAGCATCTCAGTCAGTACGTGGAGACGGTATGTGTGGATGGCAACAGAAGACATGCGTCTTACCAAGACCGACACATCGCTGACTGAGATCCACCTTCCCCCACCTTACAATGAAGACAGCATCCAGTGTCTGCCCTCAGCACAATAAACTTGAACAAGAAATCAGTGGCAGAAAGGTAAATGGAAAACTCAAATACTTGGAAACTGAACCACACGCTCTTTTTTAAAAAAGATTTATGTGTATGGCTGTTTTGCTGCCATGTATGTATGTACACCACAGGCATGCCTGGTGCCTGAAGAGATCAGAAGAGTGTGTCAGATGCCCCAGAATTGGAGTTATGGATGGCTGTGAGCCATCATGTGGGTGCTGGGAATTGAACCCAGGACCTCTGGAAGAGCAACCAGTGCTCATAAATGTGAAATCATTTCTTCAGTCCATGAACAACACACTTTTAAATACTACCTGATCCAAGAACTCTCAAGATTTTTTTTCTGGTGGTGAGGGTCTCTCGCATGTATCCCAGCCTGGTTTTGAACTCACCGTGTAGCCAAGAATGACCCTAACTCTTTTTCTTTTAAAGTGAAATATATTTGGCCGCTTTGCCTGCACATATATCTCTCTGTACCGTGTGTGTGTGTGTGTGTGTGTGTGTGTGTGTGTGTGTGTGTGTGTGTGCAGTGCCCGAGGGGGCCAGAAGAGGATGTCGGATCACCTGGAACTGGAGTGACAGATTGTTGTTAGCCATTCTGTGAGTGCTGGGAACCAAGCTCAGGCTCTCTGCAGGAGCAGCAAGTCCTCCTGACGACTTTCTGACCTCCCAGCCCTCTCTCGATCTTCCTGCCTCCACCTTCCAAGTGCTTGGCTTACAGGAGTGCACTACCACGTCTGACATCAAGATGTTTTCAGCTAATGGAAATAAAGATAGAGCCTGCTGTGCTGGTAAATGCCATCACCCCAGCATTCTGGGAGCTAATGCAAGAGGAGTGTGAATTTGAACCTGAGCTACAGAATGAGGCCCTGTCTAGAAAGAAGAAAATGTATCAGAACCTGTGGGGTACAGTGAGAACGGTGGCTGACTACAGCTTTGAATATGTGTGTCAGAAAGAGAAGGATGTGGGTCCCGCAAGATAGCTTAGGTGGTAAACGGATTTGCTGCTGATCCCGCATTTGATTCCAGGACCCAGAAGATGGAAAGAGAGAACTGTCTCCCATGAGTTGTTCTCTGCTCTCCCATGCACACCACAGCATGTGTGCAACCCCACCACTGCAACCAATCAATAAATAATGTAAAAGTTAAAAGAAAATATCTGAACTCAATGGTGGAGTTTCCTATTGGAAAGCCAGGGGAGGAAGAGAAATAGAAATCTAAAAGAAGCCAGGCGGCAGTGGCGCGCACCTTTAATCCCAGCACTCGGGAGACAGAAGCAGGCTATCTCTGTGATTCAAGGCCAGCCTGGTCTACAGAAAGAGTTCCCAGACTGGCTCCAAAGCTACATAGAGAAACCCTGTCTCGAAAAAGCAAAAACAATAAAGAAAGAAAAAAAAGAGAAATCTAAAAGAAGAGATGGAAAGATGAAATCTGGAGCAAAAAAAAAAGAATTTGAGGAAGCCATCAATGCCACAAGCTGCCCTTGAGAAACTGTGAAGAGCCCCTAGCCTGGCTAACAGAGAGGAGACAGACACAAAGTACTCACAGTGGAAACAAGCAAGGGCCGTTTGTTACACGCCCCTTGCAAATAAAGGGATTGTAAAGAAATGTCTGTCTGTGCACACAGGTGTGACAACCTAGATGAAATGAACCAAGTCCCTGAAAGGCGGAATCTGTCAACACCCACATGGGGCCATGGAGACAGGTATTCAGAACAGGCATGATGTTGTATGCCTGTCATCTCAGTATGCAAGAGTCTTGAGTTCACGATTAGACAGCCTTCACGGTGAAACCCCTATGAAGGAGAGAAGGACAGAAGGACAAAAGGAAAGAATCAGCAGTCTCTAGGCAAAACTGACCTGCGTTTAATGCTGTAGGGCCATCGTCTTAGATGAGCTTTGTAACCTGTACACAGTTGAGTGACTGCAGATCTAATTTGAACATTTCCGAATTTTTTTTTTTTGAGTCACGGTCTCTACATAGTCCGGGTTGTCCTGGAACTCACTCTGTAGACTAGGCTGGCTTCCAGCTCACGGAGATCCACCTGCATCTCTGCATCAGAGCGCTGGGGTTAAAAGCATGTGCCACCACACCCAGCTCATCTCTGGCTTTTAACTGCAGTCTAGCCATTCGCCTCTCTCAGGATTGTCTCTCTCGACCTTGTTTTTCCATCTGCCTTCTCATATCCGTGCTACTATGGGGTTTTTCCTCACATGAATCTCCAATTCCTTCTTAAAGTGTGCCTTCTGCTGAGGGGGGTGGGTGCTGAGCAGTATCCCACCAGGGCCGGTCCACACTGGACAGATGGTGACGGTGACCTGCTGTTGAACTTCTGCCCCTGCTCAGCTCAGCTGCTTGGCCAACCTCGCTGCCCGGCAAGGCCTCCAGGAAGACTTCGTGTTCCACCCACCCAACCTCCTACTTTTCTACAAGTGAGTGACCCTGCTCTGACCTCCATATCGCTTAAGTGCCTGCTGGTTGTGGTGGGGCTACCTCCTCTGGTCTTGGGCTACCCTAGAGACACTGGGAAGGCTGGTGGGAGGCCCCATCCTGCCTCCCTGACATCCCTCCTCTTGTCCTCAGTCTGAGCCAGGTGAGGGGAGCCAACTGCCGGGCCTTCATTCACCATGCTGCCCAAGGGGACACAGAACTACTGACCAACTTGCCCAACCAGAGAGTTGCCCTACAGCACACAGCCTTGGCCTGTCTGGTAGGTGCTTCAGGCGAGGACAGAATTGGGCAGTGAAGCCAGGTCATCTGTTTAACACTGATCTACCGTCCCTGCAGGGGAGACCCCACCTGCAGCTCAGTGCCTCAGACCTGGGGCTTCTCGGAGTCCTGGTATGTGACATGGAGGCACCCCAAATCATGACTGCAGACCCCCGTGTGCTGAAGAACCTGCTTCGATGCCCGAGGCTAACCGTCATGCAGACTGTAGCCCTCAACGCCCTGCTGGCCAGTGGGAAGACACAAATTGGGTGGGTGGTTCCAGGGATCAGGGTGAGTGGGGACCAGTGGAGTTGAATGGGTTCCTTCCTCGAGATGAGCGGGAGTTTGAGGTCTGAAACCAGGATGGCAGCGATGACTTCCTACAGTCTTGTTACTTGAATTCTGACCCAAGGTCCTGCCCGACTCTGACATTTCAGGTTGAGGCATGGAGGGAAGCACAGGGTTAACGTGCATTCCATCATCTGGGGTTCACAGCAGTACCAATCCCCAAGACTGTAGGCACTGGCCAGGAATTAAGAGCCTACGAACACTCTTCCCGCCTGCTTAGGGGATGGGGCGGCATGTTAGACTCCTACTCAGAACCCTTTCCCATGCACCAGGCCGCCTGGATCCTGGAACCTGGAGGGGCTGCAGGCGCTGGGACCTCTGGCCACCTACATCAGCCCCCAGTTGTGGGAGAAGGTGCAGGAGGTAGGAAGGCACCTGGAGTGGGACTGGCTGTGGACACCACCTGTCCATCCAGGACCATGAGCACCACACAGCCACCTGAGCCTTGAGTGGTGGCCGTGGGTTTTCCCATCACAGCACATATGGCCCACCCGGGGCAGAGGGAGGGACTAGGGCAGCCCTTCCTATGATTGGGAATGGACATACTTGCCCCTGCCAGGCTGTAGGCTTGGACTTCTTCCGCAGTGTGGTGGCTGCTTACCGGGCAGGCCAGCTGAGCAGGCACGATGCCAGGCGCTTCGTCACCAACTTCCTGGAGTCCAAGGCCAACTCGGTGTCCTCAAGGCTCAAGCGGCGCACAGGTCAGTGCGACCAGGTGTATTAGGGACACCATGCCTCCCTCAGTCTGGACTCCTCATTTTGGCCTAGTCTGGGCCAAGCTCTTGGCTGGAGACAAAGGATGAGGAGCAAGTCAAGGTCTGGTTACAATCAGAAGTAAAGGGGGTAGGCATGGTGGCACCTAAAGGGGCCGAGGCAGGAGGATCTTAAGTTTGAGGCCAACTCAAGATACATAGTAAGACTCTGCCCCTCAAAAGCAAACAAACAAGAAGAAAGTGAAGGCTAGGATCAAAGATGGGTCCCAAAGCCAGAAAGCTGTCAGCTCAGGCCTTCGCCTGCCAGGTTGCTCATCGGCACTCCATGCAGGGAGCTCCTGTGTCCGTGGCAACATCACGGCAGCCACCCTGCATGATGACCTCTTCCTGGTGCACTATGACTGCACCCAGCTGGAGTCCTGCCTGGGGACACGTGTGCTCAGGGCCAACCTGGACCCCTTACTGCAACACCCACTGCCCGCAGAGTGCCAGCGTGTTGTCAAAGCCAAGCTCGCTCAGGTGTGTGGATGGTTAATAATGGGGTGGAGGCTGGAGGGCTCGGCTGCATCTTAAACTGCCCGCCTGCTTCAGATCTACCCGCATGGCATCCCCGAGGACCAGCTGCACCTCATCGCCTCGCTGGTCTACCTCTACTCCCTCGCTGAGATAGGCCAGTGGAACATCACATCTGGAGACACGGTGATGGTCCTGCTGGCCTCGGACGCAGCTCTGGAGAACCAGACAGAGGTGAGGGTGGCGGAGGCTGGCAATGGGGCCGAAGTTGGCTGGTCTGGTTTGCCCAGACCCATTGACCTTGGCCCTGCCTCTAGGCAGTTCTACAGAAGTTCTTGGACCACAATGGCAAGCTTACTGGCGCTCTTCTGGTGGCCATCGGGGGCTCCCGTCTCTGCTGGATGAGCCTCAAGCAAATCCAGATCATCCAGCCCTCAGAGTTCCGGTGAGCCTCCCTGTCCACCACCTTCGCAGCATGAGGCATAGGGGAAACCGAGGCTGCGGAGGGGTGGTGAAACGGTTCAAGCCAGGCTATCAGAGGCACGCTGAACCACTATAAGAAAATGTCACCAATGGCAAGAGGGACAGCTAGGAAAGTGTGTGCAGTACAAGCGATCATACCCAAATTCCAGTCTCCAGCACACAGAATAAAAAGCTGGAGCTGGCAGCCACACCTGGAATGTCAGCATGGAGAAACAGAGACAGCAGGATCCCTGGGGCTTGCTGGCCAGCAGGACTAGCTGACCAGTCTAGTGGAAATGATGAACCAAACCAATATCCCCAAAAATAATTGCTACTGAGAAAGATACCCGAAGTCAACCCCCGGCCTGCACACATGCACACATGTGTGCGAACACACACACATGAACATGCACAAGAGAGTTAACAAGATGGTTCAGAGGGTAAAGTGCTTGCCGCCAAGTCTCACCACCCGAGTTCGATCTCTGGTCCCACTGGGTGAAGGCAAGTACTGACATCTTCAAGCTGTCCTCAGACCTCCACACATACACCGTGGTGCTCACACACGTGTGCATGCACACATAAATAATATTAAAAATGACAAAAAATATAAAATGAAGAAAAGGAAGTACCACAAACTGAGTGACTTAAAATGAGAAATATATTCTCTAGGCCAGAAGTACAAAGTCAGGATGTCTGCAGGGCCAGGCCCCTTGGAACCTTGCAGGGAAGGCCTTTCTTGCGCTTACCTGTGTGTCTGTATACAAAAGCCCTTGCTTGTCATAAGGACACGAGGAAGTTAGGCTCACCTAGCCCAGTGGAACTTCCATCTTCTACTCTGATTTCATCTGCCAAGAGTTTCTTGTTTCCAAATAAAGGCACTTTCTGAAGTACCAGATGGATTTAAATTTGGGGCTTTATACTCTCACCCAGTACAAGGGGCAAGAAGAAATTGTGTTTCAAGGGGTAGAGGCTCTCCTAGCGGTTCAGGGCAAGGGCTTTGAGCCTACTCATCTGCCTCATCCTACCCCTAGGCTGGCCGGGGCTCCGGACATCTCTCCCTGCCCTCAGAGTCGGAAGGATGTGCTCTTTGCCAAGGCTCACGAGGTCTTTAGGAACGCCAGCACTGTGGGAGAATACTACTACTTAATACGCCCCTACCTCGGTGAGCCCGGAACCATGCCTCTTCTCCCCTAAGTCCTCTGCCTCTCCTTAATACGCCCCTATCTTTGCCCTGTGTCTTACACCCCAACACAAGTCCCTCATCTCTGCTCTCTCAAGGTGGTGCCCCCTTGAAGGAACTTCAGTACCTGGCCCAGGCCAACATCTCCATGGACATTGATACATTCATCAACCTCAATCCCTTTATGTTGAAGGTGGGCCCAGGGGCTACCTCTCTTTTGTCTTATTGAGATGTGGTCTTACTTTGTATCCTAGGCTGGCCTGGCACTCGTAATTTTCCTGCCTCAGTGTCTTGAGTGCTGGGATTACTGATATACTCCACAATGCCTGGCTCGAAGTCTGTCTCTGTAGTAGGCAGACAGGGTGGGGTTGGTCAAGCTGGGAACCCCAGGTCTCAGACCCATATGTTCCAAAGCCTAAGGGATACAGATGTCATATGACCTCTGTGCCTCACAGTCCTCCTGCTCAGTCCTGGGAGCCGCACTTCCCTTGCTGGGTCCTTGACTGGGGAAGGCAGCCCCATGGATCTGTACACCTCCCCCCAAGAACCCTGGCTTCGTTTGCAGAACCTGAGTGTGGACAATGTGAGAAACCTGCTGGGTCAGAATGTGGGGGACCTGCAGAAGGCCCGCAGCCATCCAAGCGTCATCCTGTGGATGCACAGCCAGAACATGTCAGACCTGTCTGAGATGGGCCTGGACACCAGTACCCTGGCCTACGGGATCAGCAGGCCCCCCGCCAACACTGCCTACCCGCCATCCAACTTGATCCATACCTTGAATCGGCCAGGGAATGATGGTGTTGCCCCCACCTCAGGTATGGTCCACACCCCTGTTCCCATCCTTAGCAGACCCCTGGCTGTCCCTGCCTTTCCTTTGCCTCCTAGGGAGTCTGCCATGTGTCACAGGTCATTGCCTGTTGAACCATCTATAGTGATACAATTGCTCCTCCCAAACCCATTCAACAAGAACCAAGCCCAGTGGCCCAGGGTTGTAATCCCAGCTACTCAGGAGGAGGAATACAAGACCTGCCTGAGCTGCAGAGAAAGTTTAAGATGAGCCTGGAAAACGTGTGTGTGTGTGTGTGTGTGTGTGTGTGTGTGTGTACGCGCGTGTGCGCGTGCATGTGTATGTATATATATATATACACACACACACACACATACATGGGCGTGAAGAGAGCTGGGGATATAGCTCAGCAGAAAGAACTTGCCTAGCCAAGCGCAAGGACCTGAAGAGCAGCTGTGGATGGGGTCCCCACTAGCTCGCATAGCTATCACCACTACAAGGGGAAGGCCGACAGAAGGGACTCTGGGGTATCTTCTAATCAGGACTAATGAGTCCTTTTCCTGTTCCACCCGCAGGATGCCCTCTAGTTCACCTGGGGTACCTGTCACTCACTGTGGCTCTGCCTTCCAGCCTCTTGTGGCTGCTGCTGTGCCAGGCACCTTCGGGACCAATAGGCACTGCTCCCAGGACACTAGGACCCTGGACACTGCCACTGGTGCTGACCCCGAGCGGTCGGACCCCTGAACATCAGATACAGAAGCAGCAGAGCTGCCAGATGGAACAAGACACCCACCTAGGCTGAAGTCTATATCCCAGGTCTCAGGGAACCTGCTCTGTTCCCCATCCTAGGAGACCGGCTCTGGCACACACCTCAGCTCCCAGGACCTGGGCCCAGAAGGAGCTAGAACCTGCCCACCCACAAGAACAGGCTGATAGGAGGAGATGAGGGTCCAGATCTTCTGGCCTATTCCAAGACAAGTGGAACTTGGTGCCACCTCAATGTCACTGCCCTCACTGGGGATCTGAATAAAGCACATGGCTACCGTACAGCCCAAGTCTCTGCTAGGACCTTGTTGAGGGCAGAATCCTCTTGGCAGGGCCCAAACTGTGGTGGCCTCCCACACCCCTCAGCTGGGGTCTCGGGGGTTCCACTACCTCGGAGATGGTTCCCACCAGGAAGGCCTTGAATAGCTATCTCCTGCCTGGAGGGGGGGCGGTGCCCATTTTTCATCCTTCTGGGTTTTTTCTTTTTTTACATTTTTTAAATATTTATTTTTATGTGCATTGGTGTTTTACCTGCATGGGTGTCTGTGTGAGGGCATCAGATTCCTAGAACTGGAGTTACAGACAGTTGTGAGCTGCCATGTGGGTGCTGAGAATTGGGTCCTCTGGAAGAGCAGCCAGTGCTCTTAACGGCTAAGCCACCCAGCCCCCTTCTCCTTTCTAAGAGAGTGGGAGGGACAAACACAGACAAACACAGAGAACTGTGTTTGTGTGATTCTGTGATCACAAGGAACTTCAGGGTCATTCTCTGGACTGGTCCTAGGAACACCACAGAGCATCTCAAGGGGGTGAATGCCACTGTTTATTGAGTTCAAGGGTCCTCAAATTTTGGCAGTAACCCTGGGGTCCTGCTCCTGGTCAAGATGGGACTCCACAGTAGGGTTGGGGCCAGGAACCTTGGGGGTGATAGTCTTAGCTCAGTATTAAAGCTGGGAGCAGAGCTGGGATCCATGCAAACACAAGTCCTGGTCCGAGGAGCGGGGCTCCGCTGGAGAAGGCCTCTGCAAAAAGAGAGGCCACTCAGACTCCTGACTCCACCCCCCAGCTCTGCCCCTGGGCAGCCCAGCTCACCTTGGAGTTTGAGGTCCAGGACCAGGTAGCCATTGGGGATGCCAGCCTGAAGTCCCAAACCCAACCTGTCCAGGTCTTCCTGCTGCTGCCGGGAGAGCCAGTCCCGGACAGGGCTTTTATCTTGCTCTGTCTTCAGGCCCTCAATGTGTGGCCCTAGAAGTTTCTGTACCTCATCCACAGTCAGCCCCTGTCAGAGTATGACGTGGCCATCAGGGTCTCTTAGGTCCCCAGAAGGTTGGAGGGTCAACTGTGAGAAAACTGCAGCCCATAATACCTCAACCCTTATATATAAGGGGCCCCTTGTGAGGCCACACCTCTTCCAGCTGAGCCTGTCCAAACTCCTCCCTCATAAGGACCAATTCCTTCTCATGAAGTCCTGTTTCTCGTCTCTCCTATACTCCTGCTTTAACACTGGGCCCTCATGAGGCTCTTCCCAACAAAGGACCACCACCCACCCACAAGCTCTTCTCAGGAGACCTGGCTACTTTCTGTAGTGCCTCTCTTGAGCCCCTCCCTCTCCGCTTACCACCAGGGCATCCACCTGCAGCGTCTTGAAGGTGGCTAAGTCCATGCTCACGTTCTGCTGGCTGAGGGTCCTCAGGTCCTCCACAGAGGCCCCACCTGCAGGTATCAGGACCCCAGTTTGAAAACTTGCAGTAGAGCTGGAGGGTGGTGGTGCACACTTTTAGATCCAGCACTCAGGAGGCAGAGGCAGGCGGATCTCAGTGAGTTCAAGGCCAGCCTGGTCTACAAAGTGAGTTCCAGGACAGTCAGGATTGTTACACAGAAAAACCCTGTCTCAAAGAAACAAAAACAGATGGGAGGTGGTGGTGCACACCTTTTATCCCAGCACTCGGGAGGCAGAGGCAGACAGATCTCTGAGTTAGAGGTCAGCCTGATCTACAAGAGCTAGTTCCAGGATAGCTAGGACTGTAACACAGAGAAACCCTGTCTCAAAAAAAAAAAGAAAGAAAAGAAGAAAGAAAGAAGAAAACTCACAGCTTCAGCACAATACAGTCCCACCCTTGACTAAACCATACTCCGCTTCTATGATTGTCTTCTGATGCCCAAGCCCTTCTATGCTCAACAACCATCTGTCTGGACCACAGGGGTTAGAATGGATGGGAGAGCCAAAGTCATCAGTGTCAGATCCCTCATGTACCTAGGAAGCCCTGGGTGGGGCAGGGAGAGGGTAGGACTTGGCATATCACTGTGGGGTCTGCAGGTCCTGTCGTACCCACCCACGTGTGCCTTGACTCACCCAGGAATGTTCTGATCTTCTCAAAGTATTCCTGCCCGCTCACATTCTGGAAGGCCAAGGAGGCCTTTTCATAGAGGATACTCAGATGCCTCTGGCTGCACTTGTCCAGATTTTGGGGCTCAACCATCCTGGGGAACATTGTGGAACATGGCAGTGATTAGGAGGCTCAGGTATCCATTGCCCTACAGAACACACTGGAACTCACCACATAACACTGGAGGGTACAAAGTGCAGATCCTGGGGGTGGAAGTCACATAAGTAGGCTAAAGGGATGCCATTCAGGACCATTACTATGTCCTCATCTAGTCTGCCTCCTCCCCGAAGATAGCAGGCAACCAGGGCGATCACCTGTAGGAAGAAGTCACTGAGACTCCTTGGGGCAGGGAAAGATGCGTCCCCTTGTCCAACTACATGTCTTCTGGGGTACCTGATCATCCATCTTTTGTCCCTTGGTGACCTTGAGCAGCGTTTTCACTGTCTCTGATGAGGTCACATTCCACTGGCGGATGTCCTCGGAGCTGATGTACCGGAAGAAGTGACCCAGCTGCTGGATCAGGGACTCAGGATAGCCTTGTGGATAGGTCTATGGAAACAGGATCATGAGGGCCAGAACAACTCCGGGGCCCTTGGGAAAGCAGTTCTGGGCACAGCAGACAGGAAGAAGCCCCTTAGGAGTTACCTTGTCCAGTTTGCGCTTGAAGATGTTGAGCTGCTCGTAGGTGAAGGGAATCTCATTTACAAGGTCCATCTGGGTGGCCAGCATGGTGCCATCAACACAGGCCTCTAGCTCCCAATCCTGGTAGAAGATGAGGTTTTCATCCACTTCCTGGGGCTCCCGCCCCAGAGGGCAGGCTTTCTCTGGAGGGGCGGGCAAGAGTCAGAGGCTGTATGCTCCTCTCAACTCTCCCTCCTCCCACACCTACCATGACACATTGGCCTCAGTTTACCCACTGACAAAATGGTGCAACTCTATTCACCCTGGGAAGCTGTGACTGACCAAGCTGAGGAGCCTGGAAGGGTCACTGGTAGGAGCAAATGAAAGACTACAACTCTAGACTCCTTATCCCTAGTGTCGTATCTCAGGCTGCTACCCAACAGACATGGCTCTGGACTCACTTTCTGTGTCCCGCCTGAACCTTGGGAGCGTGGCAGCCAGCTTAGACTCCAGGCAGGAGGGGTCCTGGGAGATGTGTTGCAGCCATTCAGCTACAACGTCCTGAAAATGAAACACAGTAGGTTGAAGGGAAAAGCCCAGCAGCTTCTATGACAGCTCAGGGAGCAGGACCTTACCTTAGGGATCCTACGGGTGATGGACTCATCCAACACTGTCAGCAGGCCCTGCAGAGCTTCCAGAGTGGAGACTGACCACCTTGATGGGGGGCTGTCCAGAAACAGAGGCCCAGCTCAGGGACCCAGAATGTGGCCCCAGACAGAGATCAGGAGACAAAAACTGGACCAGACAATGCCTCTGCTGAGAGATTATGGAGTGCAGCCTCCTAGGGAACGAGACCTGACAGGATACAGCAGGGGACACGAAGCCCTAGGCAACCCATTCTGGTTATGGATATCCTCACACATATCTGCCCATATGCTAAGCCATTCCCACTCACCCATACGGGGGTCTTCCACTCCTCAGAGCCTCCTTGACTGCCTCTTCCTGGCCCACGTTCAGGGGTCCTCGGCAGCCTGCCAGCAAGGGGAGAAGGACTTCCGAAGAATTGACCACAAATTTCGCAGGCAGGTCACAGACCAGGCCTCCGAGAGCCTGCGCGTCTGCCTCGCTCACTTGAAAGCTATACATGCCCTGCACACACAGCGGCTTCAGTACCTTAGGGGGACCACCGAGCCCACTCCGTGTTTTGTCTCTACCTCCAGTAGATGGTACCATTCCATACCCGGCATTTCAGAGCTGCGGGCAGCAGCCTCTGGCGCTCCAGAGATCTCTGTGGAAGCATATCTACATTGGCTTTAGCGATGAGGGAGAAGAAGTGGGCACAGGCCTGTTGCCCTGGAAACATGGCTGGACTGTGGAGAGGGAGTATGCCAATTACTGTCTCAAAAAAACAAAAAAAAAAAAAGAAAGAAAGAAAAAGAAAGAAAAGAAAGAAAGAAGAAAACTCACAACTTCAGCACAATACAGTCCCACCCTTGGCTAAACCATACTCAGTTTCTATGATTGTCTTCTGAGACCCAGATGCATGCACGCGCGCACACACACCCACAAACACACACACACATAGGCACGCACACATTTCATTGCCTGCCTCCCTGGCAAAGTCACCCAATCACTGCACAGGGCAAGGCGGGGGTTGAGGGGGTGGAAGATGAGACCAAGTCCCCAGTTTGAGACCTACTTGAGGAAGAGCAGCAGATCCAGCGGGAGGGCATCCAGTTCCTCATTGGTGAGGCGCTTAGGAAGGCGACGTGCCAGACAGCGCAGCTGCCGGGAGACCAGGGCATACCACTCAGAATGTTCTGGGCCACAGCCCTCAAGGATGGCCTGGGGCACCCCAGTTCTATCCCATACTACGGGCCACACGCTGTACCCTGACCCTGTTCACGCAGCCTGTGGCATGAACACCCCACTGCGTCGAGAGTCAGGGACAGGCTTGCCTGTCTGGAATCCATAGTCAGGCTGTCCTCCCTCTCCCCCGCCTGAGTCCTGACACCATTGGCCATGTTTGAGGACAGAACTTTGCAAGAGGAGGCAAGGCCTCCAGGAGAGGGACAGCAAGGTCATCTCAGACTTGAGAAAGGGTAGCAGGCCCATGCAGGGTTGGGGGGAGGCCTTCAGACACCCAGAGAGCTGAACCCCACCAGTAGAGAGACACACACACCTAGTGGTCAACTTAGGCGGCAAGAAGAGCCCTGAGGGAAGCCACCAGCCAGGATGAGATCCTGGGTGGGGATGAAAGGGAGCAGCGGTGCCAGAGAAACTAACCACCAACTCTCCAGCCAGTGTCTGGTCTCCCGCACCTTACCACCTCACCGGAGGACCCTAGGGGGGACCGACCTGATTCACTCGCAATGTGACATTCTTCTTCCTCACAGCCATAGCCAGGCCCTGGGCATGCTCCATGCTCAGACCAGATACTTCACGACATGTGAGGCCAAGAAAGACGCCTGCGGGAAGACTGGGGACGGGGACGGGAGTCTGCACCCGACACTGTCCCTCTCGAAGTGCTTCCCTGCCCGGAGACCCCTCCCTTCAGGACCCTGGGGTTCTCATGGCCTTCTCTGGGACTAGTAACAGCCTAGAGGGCACAGTGCTTACGCCCTGGAGCATAGTTCCTCCCCCAGCCCTGAGCCAGCCAGGTGGGGATGGAGGTGGGTAGAGACACAGAGGACATTAAAGGATGAACATTTGGGCTCCTGGCATGTGCTTATTCAGTCAACAAGGTCTCCCAAGGCCCCCAAAAGCAGCTGAACCCACCTGGCAAAGTCAGGGGTGCCAGTCAATTTAGCACAGTGGAATGCAGCCTCCTAGAAGACAGGGCCTGGCTGACGACATTTCCCCAAGCACATTGGTGCTTCCTTGTCTCTCGGTGTGGTCTCAACTCTTTCAAGGTCCAGGTACTGCCTGAGTCTGGCTACCTCTGGGGCCTGTGACTTAACTCCCAAGGGCTTCACCGCTTCCCAACTCCGCTCCTTTTGGGGCCCAGCTGCAGCCAAGATGCTGTTGCTCTCTGGGTCAACAATGATCAACGGCTGTCTTTGAATGCTCAGAGATGAATGTATCCATGTGTGAAGAAAACAACGTCCACAGCCCCAAGACTAGATAATTCCCCTGTGACCTCCAGAGGACCTCACCTGGCCCGTCTTTGTAGTCTGGACGTGCAAAAGTGGCATCCACCCTGTGGGCAGAGGGCGCAAGGCTAGAGGAAGGGCAGGGCAAAACCGGGCCATTCCCTGGTCCCAGCCCTCTGTATACCCCAGTGGGTGTAGAAAGAGAGAGTTAAGGCCCCTGTACCCTATTATGTCATATTCCTGCACTCCCCAGGCCCAGGGGTCTTCCCTGCCAGGAGTGTGACACCACCTTCCAGGCCTTTCATTGATCTCAGTCCCTAACCCTCCTGGAACTCAGGCCACCAGCAATGGCCCAAAGAGAAAGCACAGGGAAAGTAAAGCCTCTCCCAAGTCCCTACCCATGAAGGCCTGGGCTCCCTTACCTCTCTCTCTGGTGAGCAGCCCACCCCGTACTCACCAAGACTAAGGAGAAGCAGTAGAAGGCTTCCACAGCAGATGGGGCTCCCACAGGACCCCAGCAGGGGTCGAGCTCTTGGCAACATCATGGTCTGTAGACAACAAGAGTTTTGAGGTTCCCAACTGTGCCAGCCTTCACCCCACACCGCAGTTTGGGAACAATGAGAAGCCTTTGGGCCTGGGAAAGCACCTGTCCAACCTCTGTGGGCACCTGCAGTAGTGTCTCCCAGGCAGACTCTCCACACTGACCGCTTGCCAGCCCAGCCCCTAGGAAAATCAGCCCTCCTACAGGGAGGGGCCTGGGTCTGAGTCAGCCAGGCACCCCGGCTATGAGGCCCAGTGGACAGCTGAGCCCACCCTTGGTCCCTACAGAGCAGGGAAGAACTGTAGGGAGAGAATCAGGAGGCAGGGGTGTCTCCTGCACAGGTTGTTACTGGTACCCCCATTTGTACTGGGAGACTGAGTGGCTCAGGCTGGGCTTATGTTGAGCCACCCTTTTCCGTGGGGTGTGAGGCTGAAGGAATCTGTGCTCTGCACAAACGCAGGGCCCCATCAGGTAGACAGTGCTGTGTGGGAAGGCAACGTCTCTTCCGTGTCAGTCCCGTGGAGTCTCGTGGCTTCTCTGAACACTTTTCAAGATGATATGGTTAGGGCAGCAGGTGGATAAGTGGGCACCGGATGCAAGTGTCTCCTCTGGGGTGGGGTTCAGGGGCCCTGTGGACAGGGAGGGTGGAAGCTGTTCCTTGGAGAAGTGTCTTCCTGGATGTATGTGTGGTTGTATTCTAGCTGAATTTGCCTTATGCTCCCATGTTTAAGCTGCTTGGCCAGCCCAGCGGTAGGAAATGTCTGGGGAGCCCCAGCCCTACAGGTCAAGAGGCCCCATAGCTGAGACGTCTCAGAGCAGGTAGAACAGGCTGTGGTCCAGAAGATGATATGTAGCTTGGGTGAGCCCTGACAAGAAACAAGTCTCAGTGTCTCCCCTCAACCCAGGAGACTATGCACCTTACAGCCTAGCCCTATGTGAGTCAGGACCTGCCTGCCTGTCATCCCGAGAAGGGGCTCCTTAAGAGTCTAGCCTCTGCAGGCAGCTGTGGGCCCTGGAATCCGCATCTCTCACACCCACACCCTAAGAAGGGCAGATGGGGGCCATTGTCCTACAGTCACAAAAGATCCAAGTTTCTGCATAGGTGGTGCCCATTCAGCCGGGCCAAAGACACATGTGACACAATAAAACCCATAATAGTTTCATCGGCATTGTGTTATGGAGTCCAGGGATGGGGAACACAGGAGAGTCGTTGAGATGTGTCCCCCCCTCATCATCCATGATCGGCATCAATCAGCATCCATTGTTCATTAACCCCACACACACCTGCTGAGCATCAACTCTGACAGGCCTCGCTCAGGCTCCGTCCAGGACTCTAAGATGGGACCTAGTCCTAGAAAAAAGCTGCCCCTGACTTTCCCTTGTTGCCAGGAAACATTTCCCTTCATTCCCCAGGTGGCTCTGAGCAGACCACAAGCTCCTCTGAATGGTGTATGAGGAGAGGCGGCTGAGGATACAGCAAGGCAATGCCCATGCTCCCTCCAGGATGGGGCAGGTGGGGAGTCTCAGGACAACCTGCCCAGCTATCACCACAGCATTCTGCACGGCCTCCCTCCAGACCAGTCCAGGTCCAGCCCTGAATGTCAGATCACATTCCTTACAAAGGTCAGACTTGGGTGAGGGTGGGTGGGACCAAAACCAAGGATGGGTCTTCATTCAACATAGGGCTGCCTGGCTCTGTTTAAAGCACAGAGATGTCCTGAGGCCAGAAAGTGTTACACAGCACGCCAGGGACAGAAGGCAGAAATAAACCTAGAGGGTAGGAGGGGAAGCGGGTCCTTGCCACCCTCCCTTGGGCAGCAGACATGGTGGGTGAGTGACACCCATGGTGGGTGAGACTGTCTGGCCCCTCTCCTGAGAGCTCCTAGAACCTGGGACGTTCCTGCCCTGACCCTTGGGCAGTTGGGCCAGAGGTGCCAAGTGGCACTGATGAATGTTCACCTTACCCACAATGCACTCTGGCTATGTGTAACTCCTGACCCCTGAGTTAGCATAAGCTCCCCCCTCACTGTGACCACCTTAAGACCGTTGTGAGCCCCTTAAGCGTCTGGACCCTGGGGTTGAAAGTCCCAACACACTGTTATGAGAGACCCCAGCTGAACTGGAGTGCCCATCCCAGGTAACCAGCAACAGGTTGCCTAATGGGAAATGGTCCGGGAGTCACTCACAGGAGACTCGTTCATACTGTAGGCATCCCCATGACCCCTGTGTGACCCATGTGCAGCCTGACCCTCAATCTGGAGTTCCTTGAGTACCTTACCCCTGGCACCCTAGGAAAAATCTGGCTGGGAGAAGTTTTGGTTCTTGCCACGACTGTGCAGTCAATATAGCGCCATTATAGGCTCAAGATTTACAAGTCCTGGGGAAGGGAAAGAAGGGAGAGCGGTCCCTCATCCAGGTCTCCAAAGGCTGGAATGGAGTCAGCCAGAGTGTGGTATGGTAAATTGGGGCAGCAGGGTGTGGGTCAGTTTACATTCCTGGCAAATGCCAATGGTCTGTGTCCAGGGAGGGAAAGGCAGCTGACCAGGAGGGAGCCGGCTGAGCCCTTATCTTTGCCTACAGCTCGGTTTGCCTGAGCTCAGAGTTCCAGCACCCATCACAGCCCCCAGGCCCCTAAGGTCCCCAGTCACTGACCCTACCCATGATAACAGTACTGAGCTGGTCTCCTCTGACTCAGTTTCCTCATCTAGGAAGTGGGTGTGGACAGATCGTGCAGCCTCTCTGGCTGTGCAGGGAACAAATGAGTCCTGGCACAGGCATCTAGGAGTGAGGCTTCTCATGCCCCGGGAATGTGTGGGTGCGGATCCTGTACAGAGCTCCAGACAGCCTCGGGTTGGGCCTGAGTTTCACGGGGAAAGAGGAGCGTTCTCAGCCTTCACCTATGGGCAAGAGCCAGATTGGGGCTTTCTTCTTACTGTCCCATTTTTGGGGCGGGAGGGGCAACACTGAGAAGCACATGTTGGAACTACAGGGCAAGACAGAGTATAGCCTCCCAGAAGAACACCGTACTCATCTCTGGGAGCGGAATTCAGCCAGGCCATAGCTCCTTTGGCGCTTCACGCTGCAGATGTCACGTCACGGTAGCCAAGCAGGGGGCAGGTGAGAGGTTTTGAAACACAGACCCAGTGCAGCACTAGGTCCATGGAGCTGTGACACTGAACTCAACCCACCTGGTAGGCATCCAGAGGCAGAGCCCTTGTGCACGCCACCACGTCCTTCTCAGCCCTCAGTTCCCACTTGGGGGGAGGGGGTAGTGACCTTGAAACTAAAAGACTTCACTTCTCCAACCCTTCCAATAATTAGCAACGGCCAATTCCCAGCATGGAGTCTGTCCTGCTTTTAATATGGACACAGACAGCTAGACTGTGGCCCACTGGTGCAGCATGCTCACAGGAGGCCCTAGATCCCCCAACACACACACACACACAAACAAAAACCTTCCTACAGAAAACCTTCTGTTTGCAGAGCTGAGTTTACACAGCTCCACCTCTGACCTTTTTCCAGGAGTGGGTTTCTATTCTGTGCACTTGGACCCAACCCTAATCTGCCAAGAATTCAGCAAGGCTGCCAGGGAGAAGAATCAGCTTACAGAATCAACAGAGATGTAACAACTAAAAAATGCCAGAGCAGACTTGTGTCACAAGGTGGGAAACAATGTTCATATTGTTTCCTGCGAAAATTCAAAATATAGGAAGAATTATGTTGGTTGTTTTATTGTTTTGTTTTGATTTTTCTAAAATCACAGTCATATCGGAGAGTCAGTTCTCTCCTTCTACCGTGCGGGCCCAGGATCAAACTCAGCTTGGGCATCCAACCTTTAACTGCTGAGCCACCTTGATGACACTATTCAGATAGGGTCTGACATAGCCCTGACTGGCCTGACATGCACTGTGTAGACCAGGCTAGCCTCATATTCACAGAAATTCACCTGCCTCTGCCTCCCAAGTCCTGGAGTTAAGGGTTTTACTCAATCACACCTAGCTTCTTGTTTTTATTTTTTGAGACAGAACCTCAAGTAACATAGCCAGGCCTTGAGTTTGTGTGGTGAATAGCCAAAGATAACCTTGAGCCTCTGATTCTCCTGCCTCCAACTCCTAAATGCTGGGATTTACAAGTGTTGCCTGATGTCAAAGTCCTTGTTACTTAGGTCAAAGAGATGGCTCCTTGGGTAAGGACTTCTGTCACCAAACCTAATGACATGGAGGAAAAAAATAGACCCTGGTTCCAGAAGGTTGCATGCACATGCTGGCACATATATGCACAGTAAATAGATAAGTGTAATAATAATAATACATAAGTTATTGTTTCTGGTCATCAAAGGTGTTCCAAACGTCCCATTTGCTCTTCCTGATCTGTGATGGGAGTTCACGCTGCATCACTGGCATGCGCCTCTCCCAGGTTCGCGTTGGTGGTGAAGACGCCCTTTTGCGCTGCCTTGAGGAACCCGTTTGAACCTAAACGAAAGGCCTGCCACGGTGTGCATGGGAATAAAAGCTGCCGCTTGTTTTAACCACACAGGATGGATATAAAACATGTTCTTTGTGATTCCAACACTGTTGGCTGCTGAACTGATGGCGACCACATTATATACTTTCCACAGTCTCACTTGCTCTGTGCACACTCCCACGGGGACGTGTTTCCGTGTTATAGAACACTTCTATATTAAATATATATTAAATAATAAATATTATTTATTACTAATAAAGCATCTGCCTTTGTCATCAGATTAGCAGTTCCTGCATGCAAACAGAAATCACAATTGGGCTTGTGTACTGTTGACATTCCCTCAAGGAAGGAGAGTGTGAGAAGTGACGTTGGACCTCACCTGAATATCTGGCTGCCCCTCCCCTTATATGCAGTTCTGCTCCCACTGCATGTGGCCTCAGACTAATATGAGTTAACAGTGGGGGGGAGGGGGGAAACGACACACCAGCTCCATCACTACAGCCTGGCTGGGTGTAGCTGCTTTAGGACCACCCAAACTTCTGCCCTAACCTCTCCTCCGTACTCTAAGAAAGCCTAATAAATCTGCCCCAGCCCTCGGGAGGCAGAGGCAGGTGGATCTCTGAGTTTGAGGTCAGCCTGATCCACAGAGTGAGTTCCAGGCCAGCCA